CCTAGCTTGTGCTAATTAATCTTGTGCGAATGGACAAGGAAGCAACAGGAAAGAGGTGCTACTATTCTTCTTTTCAAAAGGGGAAAAAAAAGTGCACGTTCATTGTCAGTTTGTCACCAATGATGAAATGCAGTTTCTGAACTCTGAAGAATGGGTGCGCTCTGCCGCGTAGGTAGCATAGCACTCATTGCTATCCCATGTTCATTGCTAGTAGTACTCTATTCATGAGGAACAGTGGCTGACACTTTTACAAAGCAAGTTGACTGCCGTGTTCGCTTTGCTGAAATTTAGTTTATATTAATATTTATATTGATTTTTTTGAAAGAAAAATAAACAATATTTGTTCGCTAAAAATTACGCTGAAGTACTTCGAGCGAACACTGTATCAGCACTTGCCGTACGTACGCGTGTGTAGGGCGCATGACATCATATCAGCACTTAACGTAGTACGTGCGTTTGTGTGTGAGAAAGAGAGATTTGCACGCACTACCTTGCAATCTGCATTCAGCATTCGGCCGGTCGATTGCAAATGAAGTGAAGTCAACTCTCTCAGAGGTCCACACCCGCACCTACTCGATCACCACTTGAATGTGTACTAGTACATCAGTAGGGCATTTATTCTTTTTGAAACGATTATCTTTTTTTTTTCTTCTAAAAAAAGAGAAGAACAACTAGTAGCGCACTTTGTTCGTTCGGGTGCTCACGTAGGGTCTGATTGGATCAATTTCCTAAACTTTAGCCCCTAACCTATTTAGATGGAGAGGCTTTGAAGCTACTGTACAAAGACAAAAAGCCCCTAATGCACACAATCTTCTTAGGGGACTAATGACCGTGAGTGCATTAACGAGGGGTAGGGGTGTCTTTTAGGTGGTTTAGTTCCCCTTTAGTCACCTCTCGAGGGATTAATGAACTAATTAGTACTCCCTTCGTTCCAACTTATAAGTCGTTTTAACTTTTTTGGTTCATTCATTTTGCAATGTATTTAGACATACTATTATATGTAGATGCATAGCAAAATGAATGTACAAAAAAATCAAAGCGATTATAATTTGGAACGGATGGAGTAGTCACCTATTTAGTCACCCTGGGTCTTTAGGGACTAAAAAAGGACTGAGAGGGAGCGACTAAAGTAGTCACCCTATTTGTCGCATTCCGGCTAAAAGTTGCGAGTCTCGACACATAAAGATTCTGGTCAAATTATATGGCAGCATGGAAATGCATGCATGTTGCATGCCTTGTTTGGACGCCATCCTGGATGAACTTTGCCAGGCCTGAAACCTTCCTGGATGATGTTTGGATGAAATTTAAACAGTAGTTTTGCCTGGCATGATTACAATTGATGCATTGTTTATTGGTATATGCTGTATTTAATAAGAGACATGTTGCATTTTTATTTCTGCTTTCTATAGACTACGTACTGTAATCTGCAACACATATAATATGGCTGGTCAATAACTTAGATTATTTTTCCTCTTTTGAAGTAAATGTAGTTATTTATTAAATATAGATAAAGTCGTTTGATATATCAATAATTTTCTATTTTATTTAAATAAGGAAAATATTGATACAATTTTTTTTTAGTAAAACTACAAAAACTATATGCTAATTATATACCACAAACATAATAAAAACACACTAATATTATGAATATACTGTCTTATTAATATTCTCAGGCACATGCCTCTAACCAAATGGGTTGTTTTAAGGCTTACTAGAACAGGTAAAAATCATCAATTTTATAGGCAACTCTCATGCATCACTTTTTACTAGGCAAGGCTTCCAAACAAACAGGGCTTGTAACTGTGCAAGTCCTTTGCCATTGTCATTGCCAACACATCAGAAGAGAAATCTTGCCACATACAACTACTAGGATTAATTGATCCAACTAGTCCGGAAGCCTCGGCATTCAGAGGACATGCATGGCACGTGTGGAGAGAATGATGTTGCAGCTTGCAATAAGAATATACAGCAATAATGAAGCGCGCCTCGCCTCATGCATCGATCATTGGTTCCATGCAAGTGCATGCACATATGTCAGTCCGATGTCACCCGGGTCAGGTTATTAGGTGCAACGTACGTACAGTAAGTAGTACGACAATGAATTTTGCCACTGCTCTGCCAGTTCCAGGCAGCAGCAATTGCATGCATTGCACTTCGGTCGCCAACCAAAATTTGGCAATTTGCACTGCATCTGCACCAGTGCAGCCTGCATCATTTCTGGCCCCGCCGGCTGCAAATGACATTATATTGGCGTGGGTCAATACAGGTCCACGCTAGCCCTACACGAGTGCAGCTGCAGGTGCAGGCACTGTTTCCACTTTCCAGTAGTGCCGGGCTGGCTGCGATGCATGTCACGCTCTGCCTCGCCAGAAAAGTCCAAGCAGGTACGAGGCACCGGAACCGGACAGCGACAGGAAAACGCCCGGACCATCAGATTTCAAGCTTGGGATGCTGCTGCATATCAGCATATTGTGTAGTTGTGTTTGTGCTTGCCACACTCCCGGTCCCGGTGCCTTTCGATATCAACTGCACGCGCTGACTGAATGTGATCCATAATATGCAGCACGTACGGGAGAGAGATCAGTGCAAGCAAGCAGCTGTCCGTGTAAAATATCTGTTGGACCTGGGTGGGCATTGGGCAGGCACACGGCATACCGCTCCCCACGAGATATTTCATTTTAGACTGCCCGGAGATCTGAATTATGTAATAGCATGGGATGTGATGGCAGTTAATTAGCACGGAGTACTTTCTATGCTCAAATCAAGGAATTTCATGTTTTCCGCTCAAAGCTACGCGTAACACTAACATGTGTGATGGCACCTCCCACCCCCCCCACACACACACACACCCTCTCAAGCCCGACATATATGCACAACAAGTCACGCTACATTCCTGGTCTTGCCATGTCTATCCATTCGTGATTGACCATTTCAGTGTAAAAAGTTGGGGATGTGATGTTTCTACTTGTGCGCAATGCCCGCTTTTCACCGCAGCCGTTTGTTCGTTTTGTATGTGCCTGCATATAATTTGTTCGTTTTGTACTGATAGATAGATAACCTGTGATGTTGCCATCCTGTGACAATTATTGGTGGCCTGGTGCTAGCTAGATCTTCTCTATCGGTGTGATGCATTGGTGAATGCAATAAGAATCTCTTCTTTAAAGGGGTCTTCGATTGCCGTCCTTTCTAAAAAACTAAAGGCTTATTTAGATATGCATTCGTGAATGCAATAATTCTTATGTGCTAAACAGTTCGAAGAACAAAAGATGATCAGATTTCAAAGGAGTTCAAACGAACATTCAAGAGTGCAAACTGATCTTTACTAAATAAACCTCAGTTGCTCTCTCATAGCGCGGAAGTCAAGATTTTACACAGCTTTTAACTCATGGGTCCAAAATCTAGTCTAAATTGTTGTTTGTCACTTATTTTCTTTCTCTCCTTCTTTGTTTCTTGAACTACTCTATATTTGAATGATAGTTTTAATTTTAAATTATAACTGTATGAGCCAAGGCCCTTTCAGATTCCTCAAAAAATGGCCATATATATGCATGGAGAACATCAACAACACCCAAACCGGAAGAGAGCCATGTGACTGAGAGCCCTCACAATCCAGTACAATGACACAATTAGGCATGCTCTACCAATGAGATAATAGCCCGTCGCACGGGTCTCCCAAAGGGAGGCCTGCTACACAAAAAAGAGGGGAAAAATCCCTTTTCTTTTGACATTCCCATACATGATTTTTTTTCCCAAGAGGTTGAAACTCATGGTAGATTAATAGTTTACCAAAATTCCTATGAAATAAGGCATTCTATTTTTTTTAGCGATTATAAAGGCTGACTCCTTTTTCCAAAGAGCTTAAATTCTTCGTGTCTTACAATTTGTAATGGAGAGAGTACGATTCAACGGCTATGAAATTATTTGGTTTTTCCATTTTTTTCCCCAAAGGAGACCTTATGGAGGGCGAAGTGAGCTTCTTGACAGAGGTTGAACCGATGATTGATGCGTTTGTTGGGACATGCTCAAGGCAGAATCTAAGCACTTTGACTTAGTACATTTTTCTAAAACGTGTTGCGTTGCGTACTCCTTAAAAAAAACTGTCGTATTTCGAGAATTCAAATCATTTTAGTTTTACCAAAAAAAAGTCTATACAAAAAAACTAATATTTATAATACAGAGTTTATAAAAGTATATTTTCATTGTATACCTAATGAGAATCATAAATATTAATAATATTTTCTATAGAGTATGTCAAATTTAAGGAAATTTGGCCGATCAATTCAAACCCAAAATCGCATCTCCTTTTGGGAAGGAAGGTATGTAGTACTTAGCACTCCATGCATATGCACGTACGTAGCAGTAGCAAATTGAAGAAGCATCAGCTGTTGCCATTGCTGGTGAACCCATCGATCGATCATCTGTAGCAATGCATGCACGCAACATGATGGGCGTCGATGGAAGGCAAGCAACCGAAGAGAAGAAGAAAACGCAAAGGAAAGAGACGAGGGGTTGTTTTGGCGCCATATGGAAATGGAAAACTCAAAAGGATCGGATCAGGTACCGTTTCATTTTCCGCTGGATGGGAACTGAAAAGGGAACCCACGTGAAAACGTCGACAAGCTTGAACTTGTTTATCGCAACATTCCACACCACATCAGGATCAACAGAAAGCGCCATGAACAAATCGACAATATATAACCCAAAAAATTTCAAATTTAATTAGCATATATATATATATATATAAAAGTGTCTCATCTGAAACTCCGGTCCACATGTATATCAGTATATGTGTGGCTGGCATGTGGTGATCTCTCTTTCTGAAATTGAAACTGAAAACTGAAACTGGAACTGGGAACTGAGATTACAAAGTAATCAATATAATAGTACGCACGCATGGTTAGTACTCTACTGGTTCTTGGCAGAAGAGGTGGCGGAGATGATGGAACATGGGCGTGGGCGGGGCGCGCGTGTTGGTGGAGCTATAGCTACTTAGCTAGTAGCTAGTGGCCGACGCCGGGGCTGGGCACGGAGCCGAGCATCCGGCTGCGGGGGGATGCCTCCTCAATGGTGGTCGGCGGCGGCGGTGGCAACAGCAGCAGCGCGAACGGGGGCGGCCTTTCTTGCACCGCCGCTGACGCAGCTGGTGTGGATCCGGAGCCGCTACTACTCGTCGTCGTAGTCGTCGCGGGGCGCACCTGCTGCTGCTGCTGTACACGTCCCTGGGCATCATCGGTCGGCGTCGTCCTGGTCGCTTGCAGCTGCGGCAGCAGAGATGCCAGGACAAGGAGCGCGACGAAGACGAAGGACGCGGCAGTGCGGCGTAGCGACGATGAGGGAGCCATGGCAAGCAGCGTGCGTGCACTTCTTTGCTGGATCTTGAGCTCCGGCCGGCCTCAGCTCCCTGCTGGTGTCTGTGTTTGGTTTGGTGTGTTACTTGCATTGCAGGGAGGCATGTGAGCGACGTTGCAGCGTATTTATAGGCGGCGGTGCTGTGCTGTGCTGCGTGCAGGCAGAGACGCCGAGAGCCCGCAAGCATTTCAGGCCGGGGATCGGAGATTGCAGCAGCACCGCCTGCCTCCTTCCTTGGTCTGTTCACTGTCAACTGTCATTGGCGTAGTCAAACTGCGCTAGCTAGTTGGATTGGACGGACGATCAAATAATTAAAATAAAATCGCTGTCGTAACTAGGAATTGTGGAATGAATTGGCAGTAGGTAGTGCAAAACAAGCAGGAATTCGTTCGTGCATTCACACGGACATACATTAGCCTGTTCGCTAGGTCGTATTTGGCTTATAATCCATGATTTATCAGTCAACGAACATTATTTTTCTCACATCAAACCAGCCAACAGTACCTTCGGTCATGACTTATAAGCCAAACCAACCTAAACGAACAGGACGATAGCGTCCGTCCGTCCGTCCGTTCGTCAGTACTGGATTAGCGTAGCTGGAACCCTCGAGTGCGTAAATGACGCTGTCAATATAGTAATTCCAAGGCGTCCAAGACTGGACCGGATCCAAGTGGTACGTGCGCGCGTGCGTGCGCAGTGCAAGAGGACAGGCTCGACGTCGTACGGCGCCGCGCCGCGCCACGTGGAAGGGATAGAGGACACCGCTGGGCGCTAGGGTCAAACAACACGTCCTGGCAGAGCTATAGCTAGCTAACCATATGCTTGCATGCCGCTATGTCACTAATGTAACAAGGTTAATGTAATAATGTTGCCGGCGGCTAGCTAGGTCTCAGTAGAAATGGCATGGCATGGCATCGCTCTCCATCCATATGCATGCATGTCCATGGCATCGTCGTCTGTATGTCTGATGACGAGCGAGTGAACGAACCTTCCTGCTGGTTCCAAGTGCAGACGACCGGGGGGCGACAGGAGCCTAACCGCGCCCGGCTGAGAAGTCGTGCAGGTCAGGTCAGCTGGAGACTGGAGGTCTGGAGCTCATCAGCCATCACGTCTGCATGACATCTCGATGGGGACCAGAACCAACGCTCCTCTCCTCCCCCGTCGATCCGGTGTCTGCTGCGCGATGGAGCCCTGGATCACCGGCATTTGCAGGCCGGCAAAACTCAAAAGGAATCATCGCGCGAGTTCCTTTCTCCAAATTAAAGAGCTATATATATATAGCCTATAGCCGCCGTGCTGAATCGTCGTAAGCTCTTGAGCAAATCGTAAGCAAGCAAGGTTGTTTGTACATGCATGTTAATTAAACTGTTTAGAGGATGCTGCGAGCTTATATATAATACTCCTCCAATAATTAGCTTGTTTGTGGAAGTTACATCTAATCATCTAGTACACAGTACGTAGCACCTTTTTTTGCTGGGCCAATGGAAGGCAAGCCACCTGATTTACCGTGTCCCGCGTACTCTCGCCACATGTGACTATGTGCTGACCTACACATCTAGTATATCTATTTGTCCTCAAATTACTAGTACTACTCTGTACTCTCTCTCTCTCTCTCTCTCTCTCTCTCTCTCTCTCTATATATATATATATATATATATATATATATATATATATATATATATATATATATATATATATATATATATATATATATATAAGTACGGCGCCAAGAATCTCGTGCTACGACGATACTACCACACTTTTCTATGACGATGCTGATGAACAGAAAAGGGATTCAGGGAAGCGTTCAAGTGACGGCTTGTGTTCATGATGCAGCCTGAGTGAACCCCTGCACACATTTCCATGCTCCTTCCCTCCCTCTACGTGAAACGGCACGACACCCCGCCAAATTCCGTGCTCACACAGCACAAGCTTTTACTACGGTACTGCTCCAAGGTAAACTAATTGTGTGTATTGATGTCACTAGCTAGTATTAGAAACATGATCATTAGCATTGCTTTCTCTTAGCTCAACAGTAGTACTACTGTAGCTTGAATTTGTAGAATCTAATGCTGTCTCCCCAGCACCTGCCGCAGCGCCGCCCAGCCCCCGCCGCTGCCAGCCCTGCTCCCATCGGCTCCCTCTCTTCCTATTGTATCCCTTTCCCTGTCTCTCACTCCCTCCCTGTCTCCCCACTGCCCCGCTGCCCCTCCCCGTCGCCGGCACGGCCGCCGCTCCCTGTGGCGCCGCCTCCCTCTGTCCCTTTCTCCCCATCGTCTCCCTCCCCTGCCACCCCCTGTCCTTAACCCTCCTCCAACTTTGGGCATAAAAGAAGCCCGCCACCGGTCTCCAGGAGAAGCCCGCCGGCGGCGGCCAGCTCGTTGCCTTAGGTGGATTGGGGTGAGCCCCAATCTCCCGTTGTGGTTTGTCGAGGTAATCCTCTTGTGCATTTGTTGCTTGAATAGAATTGTTGTTAGCTAGGGTTAGGATTCAAAATTAGTCAATGAACTTAATTAGTAAAGTTAGCTAGATAGGTATAGTTAGTGAAGTTAGTTAGTATAGTTGGTTAATACAGTTAGTTAGTATATGTACTAATATTAGTTTAGTTAGTGTATTTAGTATAGTTAGTTAGAATTGTTGTTATATGTATTAATATTAGATTAGTTAGTTTTCTTAGTTAGTATAGGTATGAATACTAGATTAGTTAGTAGGCACGACGATTTTGACGACTTGATGAAGTTTCTTTAAATGTTTTTGTAGATGGATTGTTGTGTCAGAGTTTTTTACGGAGAAAGTATTAGGAGAGAAGATGGTATGTTTGAGGATATGGAAGAAGAATTGAAATGGTTTGATGAATCTCCTAGCTTCAACGATCTTTGTGTCCATTTCAAGGAAAAGTTTGGCGGTGATTTCACACTGAAGAGGAGGTTTGATAGTGGAAATACTAGGGCACATTACGTGTTGATGCCCTTACGTGACCATGCTCACTGGTCCCGCTACAATAGGTTAATCCAAGGTTCCAATGTGGCCATAGCTGAGGTGGTGGTGGAGAATGGGTACAGGATGCATGGTCTCTAGGAGGGGCCGTCCTTCGACGGTGATACTCAACAAGAATGTGGGGTCCATGTGGAACCAACTATGGATACTATGGATTTGGACGGTCAGTTGACATAGGAGCAGCTTCATTCAACTCCAGTAGGCTGTATAAGCAATGACTTCGATGTGAACGAGTTTGAATGGAAAGAGGAGGAGCAGGAGGAGGAGGACAGGATCGGTGATGTAGTTAGCAGTGATTCAGACGATTCGAATGATGACCAAGGATGCTATGCCAACACCGGTTGATGCCATGCCAGTACTGGTTCATGCTATGCCATTACCAGTACCAACTGAGGTACTTCATGCTATGCTGGCTCAGGGTAGACTAGTCACAGATTTGCCAGAGGATTATATCCCCTATGATTTTTGGGCTAGAATTAGCGAAGCACAGCAGTATGTTTGACCACCACCTTACACAGCGACATAGCTTATGCAACTGAGGTCGATGAACGTACCTTTCAGTGGCGTTCCGAACTATAGGGATGTCAGCATGACGGATATGTCAGTTTGTGACACCGGTCTACAGATGTGTAGGAAATCATTGTATGACCATGAGAATGAAATTCTTAGCAAGGGGATGATATTAAATACAATGTCAGAGATGAAGTTGTTCCTTGAGGACTATGCTGTCTATCACCATAGGCCTTACACCATCAGTCATTCGGACTAGGAGTTGAGGTACCATGTGATATGCAAAAATAGTTGTATGTGGAGGTTAAATGCACGAAAGAGACAGAGTGATGGCAAGTGGAGGATAAGTAAAGTGGTCCAACCCCACACTTGCCTATCAAATAAGAGGAACGAAAATCATCAGCAACTCACTGCACGTTACTTTGCCCATCGTATATTGGGGCTTGTTGATGACAATAATGTCATTTCGGTGTCTTCCTTACAACAGTCCATATTCGGATTCATTAAGTATGATGTGAAGTACGGAAAGGCTTGGCGTGCTAAGCAAATTGCCCTGGTGATTTGTTGGGGTAGTTGGGAGGAAGCGGATAACAGGGTTCCCCAAATATTGTGTGCAATGAGTTACTACAACCCTGGCTTGAAATGGTTTATAGACACCGGAGCGATGTTTTTCTAGGACCCGTTGAGGCATGTCCTGCATCATGTGTTCTGGTCGTTCGCGCAAACGGAACATGCATTCCAGTATTGTCGGCCAGTCGTACTTATTGATGGCACTTTCCTAACCGGAAAGTACAGGGGCACCTTGATGATGGTTGTTGCTGTTGATTCGGAGGACCAGATAGTACCCATGGCTTTTGCTTTGGTAGAGGGAGAGAACAATGAATCATGGTCATGGTTCATGCGGCATCTACGTGTACAAGTGCTTGGCCCATCTCGCACTATATGTTTGATCTCGGATCATCACCCAAGGCTTCTTAATGCTACAGATGAACATATCGATGGGTTCCCGCCTCTAGTGCATAGATGGTTCATGCGACATTTTGCCACTAATTTCTGGCGACGTCAGAGGAAGAAGGAGGTTTGTGACAAGGTAAAGGCTCTATGTTGTGTAGGTACAGAGCACCAGTTTAAGGAGACAAAGAGAGAACTAGACAAGATGCTAAATGAAGCGGGCAAGGCCTGGTTAGAGGCGCAGATGGAACAGAAGACTAAGTGGGCGTTATCATATAATGAGAGCAGTTTCAGGTACGACATCATGACCACCAACTCATCAGAGTCTTTCAACCGTGTATTCACCGGAGTTCGATCGTTGCATGTGTCTAGAATTGTTGAGTTCTCGTTTCACAAGTGCAACGATGGCTGCTAGGACCTCTTCTGTTCGTACTCCCATCCATGAAGGCAAGGACCCTGTGGAGCACGAGGATGAGGAGGATGAGGAGGATGACTATGATGACATTGGGATGTCTCAGCTTGGTGATGCACCGTT